TTTTAATAAATGCTTTTTGAAGTAATCCCTCTGTCTGCCTTGCCTTGAACACCGGGTCCTCTGAGTCTTGCCTTCAGTAGGACTTTAGTACCGTGCTGCAAATATTGCAACAGCAAACAGAACTTCTTTCTCCGTTCCTCCAACATTATGTTTTTTCTTGGTTTTAAAGTAATCGAACAGTTTACAGTTTTGAGGGACATGAATACTTATGCAGGTTGCTGTGATTGTCAGTTTTGGTGACATGTCTTACCTCTTCAGCCTCCGAATCTCTATAGTATCTGAGGCAAGTATCACCAAGGACAAACCAGTGCCTGGTCCACTGCAGAAGGTCAGGAGATATAGACTTCATTAAACTTGGTTACAGGATCTTTGCACTCTTCAAAATCATCACATTTAAACATTCAAAATAACATTATTCATGGTAGAAAGAAATTAAATCTTAAAAATCATTCTAGTGTTTTGTAGAGTCATAGATCTTTAGGGCCTAGGGGGAAGGATATCTGTAGAGGTCAGTATTACAATGGCTCAAAGAAGCCTCTGACAGAAGATACTTCTCATGAAGAGTTTCCTGACGGCTGTGCATCTCTTTATTTATTCAGGAGGAGTCCTCCGGTTAGAGCCGCCCTTCTTCATTATCTGGTCAAGCTTTTCTAGATTCTAACGCTGGTTCTCCAGCAGACGATGGAAAAACAAATCACACCCATTGGTCAGAGGTACAGTCTGCTCTGCCCCCCATCAGGCCGTTTTAGGTTCAGTCTGATGTTCTCATGTCTTCTGGTTGATAAAGTTTATGTTTAAATGACACAAAGTTTGAGCTATTTGATCTGAGCGATAATGAGGTTTTCAAATCTGTTTAACTGTGACTTGAACAATGTTTTTATTTAGTCTAAATCAGGCGTCCCACCCGCCGGTAGCTTTGGTCTTTATGGTGAATAAACACTTTAAAATAGTTTTTAGGATGAATAAAGCTTCTAGAGCTGCACTTCTAACCCCTGATGAGAAATAACTTCCTGTACTGAAACTAAGCTCCTCAGTCATGGTGTGTTGCCTAAAAAGGGCATAGAAGAAACATCTTGTTGTCTTCTCTAAGTTCAAACCTTCTGACAGGAGGAATGAAGGTCCTTACCTTGCCTTGTTGGTCCAGCCTGGACATCCAGCCCTTCAACAGGCACCATCTGCAGTTGGAGGCAGACGGTTAGAAAGTCGTCTGTGGTTTAAGTCTCATTGAAACTAAAGGAAACGGAAACCATCAAGCAGACAAACGGACCCAACTGGCTTCGCTGCTGCAGCCTGAAACATGCATGAAGGTGACAGACTCTTAACGCTCTATAAAGAAAAGTTATAAAGGAGGAAATAAAACAGGAAGGTTTGTAGCTCGTGTGAACAGCGATCATCACTGTGGACAAAAGGAGAATGACTCAGTCTGAAAGCAAGCAGATAGTGTTCGGCCACCCGGATATACTCACCAAGCAAGATGTTGGGTCCGAATAGCATGAGGCAACGACAGATAAACAGAAGTTAGAAGGGAAGTAATGCACGGCATGCAGAGGGAAGAGGAAGCCACAGAAGCTTGGTCACGGCATCTTAGCATTTCATTCAGAAACGTCCTTAGAAGGGTTGATACTCATCATCCTCCACAGTAGAACATCTTTAATGTGGTTTCAGTTTTTATAGCATCAGTTTCAAACTGTCAGCTTCTTTTAAAAAGTGCTAAAAACTTACCGCAGTTCTCCAGGGAAACAAGCTGTTTTCAATCTATTCTTGAATCCATTACTAATAATTAAACTTATTTACATGTTGCTCTAAAACAGACTGATGCCTTTTTGTTCTGCTGTGAGCTTCAGGGACAGGAAGGTGATGGATGCTTTCAGGCGTCATGGGAATGTAAGACATTTAACGATTTAAGGAAACTCACCTGCGTCTGCAGGCGCTCAGGATGAGATCGCTCCCTAATTTTCAAAGATCGCTGCCTTCCATTTTGATCCGAGGTCTTAGTCGAAAGAAAAAATAAGATTTTCACTGTTTGAACCTTTTGAAGGACGACTCTGCTGGCTTTTCTTTTACCTGTGCATGAAGGGAACCAGCAGATTGTCTCCGTGACGATCGTCCACTTTCAAGGTCTGGACATTTTTCTCTTCTGTCTCTCCCCCTCTCTCTGCCCCTCCTCCTCTCGTCTAACTTTAGTCTTGGACTATAGTCGTCTGTCTCATCTTGATGCCTTTAGAAAGAAAATAAACTTCAGTACATTTTACAGTGAAATACCTGCAGCTGCATCAGGAGTGAAAAGGAGGTTAAAAAGGATTCATTGTTGAAGGCTGGAAAATGTCTAACACAGTTTTCAGATTTGTGTTTGTAAAAAATCTCCACATCCACGTAATAATACCCAAGCCAACCTGTTCACTGTGCTGAGCGCCAGATATTAAGAAATACCGTGAATTCTGAGCAAAAAGGAAAGATTTTCCACATAACTACAGATCACTGATTGTTACTCAGTAACATTTACTGTTCTATAAAAATTCAACATTTTATAACTTTGTTTCAGAGAAATCCTCTGAAAACGTCCAACCAATAGCTGCACCTGTCCTCATCTAACCCTGACATGGCTGCCTGTCCAAATTCTTTCAAAATCTCACTCCAAGGTTTGGTGAAAAGCTTGCAGCGTGTTACAGAGCTGCTATCCTTGCATTCGAGTCAATGAGTCGATGCAATCAGCTGGTTTTCC